TATTTAGCTTTCCAAAGCCAACCTGAATTTCTCTCTTTAGTTTAAATTTTAAGCAGTTTGGAACTTAACATTGCTATAAAAAACAATCAATTAATTTGGCATGTTTAAGATCTCTAGAACTGCAGCAGTTGGCTTCTTTGAATACTTATTCAGAACACACGAAAATTCTTACATGTCAAATGAGTGGCTATTCATTTTCATTGACAAATTGCCCAGAAAATTAAGAACCAAGAACTCTTAAAAATGCATTCTGAATTCAATCATTGATCACGGGTTTCATAAGAACATCTTATATTGGATATTTACTTTTCTTTCAATCAAGTAAAATAAGATTACCTAAAGATTTACTTTTCTTGGCCTTTTGGCTAAGTTTATGTCTAATAAAAATATGGGGAAATTACTTCTAGCCCCCAATTTCCATACGAGTATTCTGCCCCCACCCAAAACTTTTTTAATGCTTCCAAAACCCCAAAAGTAAAGCAATAATTCCCTGAGCCCCCTAAACACAAAACCCAAGTGATTAAAATATGTTAAGACCATAATACCCTTTCTCTCTCTCTTTGCAAATACCTCGTCGGCAGCCCCGGGTACGAAATAGACTCCTCCTCGTCGACCTCCACCCGGTACATCTCCATCAGAACCCTAACCCTAACATTTCCCCCAGCTCCTCCCTGACCGCGCGGGCCGCCGCATCCTAGCCGGGCTCCCCCAGCATCATCTTCTTGGACAAAGGGAGGTACCTGCTCCTTATGGGTCCGTTAGAGAGGAGTTGCTGGGATTCTAGGAGAGTGGAGCCACGGGGGTTCTTGATGTGAAGAATGGCCACGTTGACGGTGCAGGTGAGGGAAGGGGAGGTGAGGAGAGAGGATTCGCAGTTTGTGATCTCGAGGTAGAGGTTGTTTAGGGTTTTCGTGCCCGGGGTAAGGCCCCATGAAGAGAGGCAGTCGGAGGGGATGTGGGATTTTAGGAAGGCGGAGAGGGAGGGGAAGGAGAGGGGAGGAGATGATGATGATGGTGATGAGCAGCAGTTTTGTTGCTTCATTTTTTTCGTGAAATTTGTAAAGAAAAACAATAAGAAGGGAGAAAAAAGATTGTTTTGAGGGTTACATGTTGGTTTTGAAGGTTACGTGTTGATTGTGAAGGTGTTACGGGTTGGTTGTGAATGATAAATATTGGTTGTTAAGGTTACGAGTTTGATTGTTAATTTTACGTGTTGATTGTTAATGTTATGGGTTGGTTGTCAAGGTTACGGAGATTACCGAGGTTCACAACCAACTCGTAATCTTCACAACCAACCCGTAACCTTCACAACCAACCTGTAATCTTCACAACCAACCCGTAACACCTTCACAACCAACGCGTATCCTTCACAACCAACCCATAACATTCAAAACTAACATGTAACCTTCCTTCACCAACTCATAAGCTTAACAACAAACTTATTACCATGAAATAACAATAATTTATAAATTTACATACTCTATTTTAATCTCAAGTCATCGATTTCCTTACAAGTATTCCGCCAATAAACGAACGTCATTTTCTTCCCGCCGGTGAAACTTTCTCGCCATTTCCTTACAAGTATTCCGCCAAAAAATTCTAGTTTCCCCAAGACTTTTTTTCACCTCATGAACTAACGCTGGAAAAGTATTACCGTTATTGGAAAATTTTGGAGGGAACTAGAATTTTTTTCCCTCAAAACTCATTTTAAATAAGCACAGTAACATCATGAAGAGAGAGAGAGAGAGAGAGAGAGAGAGAGAGAGAGAGAGAGAGAGAGAGGACATTATGGTCTTCACATATTTTAATCACTTGGGTTTTGTGTTTTGGGGGCTCAGAGAATTATCGCTTTACTTTTGAGGGTTTTGGGAGCGTTGAAAAGGTCTTGGGTGAGACGGAGTACTCGTATGGAAATTGGAGGCTAGAAGCAATTTCCCCTAAAAATGTCCTACAGAAGCAATGAATCACTTCACGAGGAATCGTGCATCATTTACATCTTTGTAATGAGCAGGGAGGAGTTGTTGGGAAATAATTATATCTACCCCTTGCGGTTACATACTTTCTTTTGGTCCATATTCTTCTTATTTCCTTTTTAAAAAAAGAAAAAAATGGAAGAATTTGAATTGGAATTTTCTTCTGAGTAATCATGAAAGAGAATAGGACGTGTAAGGTAAACTTGCACAACATTGTAGGTTACGCTAGGGAGATAGTTATTCAATTGAGTATTATATAAGAAAACCTCCTATAATTTGGCAATGATGGACTACAAAACAAAGAACTAATCCTAATCCTTCAACGGGCCATTCATTAGTCCATATTTAGGATAAACCAAGTGGAAATGGAATCTATATGGGCAAACTATAATGAAGATGAAGAGTGTCGTCATCATCATCATCATCGATCACAAGTTTGGTTGGCCAAATGGTTAGTGGAGCTATAGAAAAACTCTATACAAAAGCTTTTTAGTGTTTCTTCTAGAATTATCATAGAGTAGGGTCACCATTCTTGGCTTTAGCCAATGTTTTACAAAAAACCAAGAATGCGTGCACTTGAAACCGGAAACTTTACTTAGCACCCCATTTAATCTTATTTTAATTTATATTATTTAATAATGGAAAAAACTTCCACCATCAATTTTCATTTTGTATAAAAGTAATAGAGTAATAAATTCTTTTTTGGGGGCGGGTGGGGTGGGGGACCACCTTTTAAGGGAGCTCCAATTTCAATTAACTAGTTAGAATTATTTTTTAATGAAATTCTGACTAACATTATCAAAATATTTTTAAAAGCAATGTGTCGTATAATAGGTTTGGTTAAGAAAGCATGTCATGTGTCTAACATGCGTGTTGTTAAGGGTATCTCGGTCGTGTTGTTAAGGGTATCTTAAGAATTTTAGTTAAAATCTCATCAGAAAATAGGCTGAGGTGGTTTATTGCAAGTTGGAACCTCTTTTAAAAGTAGTTTTTGTATAAATTAAACTTTGAAGATGATTTTTGCACAATTATTTTTAAAGGTGTTTTATGTGAAGAGACCCTAGTAGAACAGAAGAACGAGTTTCTGGAGAATCTGACAACTTGCATTTTATCCCTGAAAATACTAATACGTGCACGCCAAATGCAGGAAAGCCTATGCATTACAAAAAGATGAAGTGACGACATAGTTTCCTCAAACTTTAAATTTACTATTTAAATAGCATTTTTCCATGTCAAAGATACTTTTATATTATCTTATTAGGGGTTGTTTGGTTCGTTTCCTTGATATAGAGAAATGCAATTCCATGTAAAGAAACACAAGTTTTGATTCCTTGATATAGAGAAATGCAATTCCATGTAAAGAAACACAAGTTTTGAGTTTTCTAAACTTTTCCAAGAAATAGATTGTTTTGCTTTGGTTCGCACATAAAAAATGTTGGGAAACCAATGTATTTATTTTTCTTGTGTTTGGTTCGCATGGAAAAAAAAAGAAAACTTTTGTAAACAAAGTAGAGAAGAAAAAAAATCTGACGTGGCAGAGTTTTTATCAATTTCACTTGGTTGGGAAAGGAAATCGGAGAGGGAAAAAATCTTAGTTGACGGCGATTTCAGCATAGTTTTCCCTCTTCCATCCGAGCGAACCAAAGCGGCACAAAGAAATGGACGGAAAAAATAAAACTGACGTGGAGGACTAAAAATCTGACGTGGAGGGGTTTTCTGAGTTTTCCACCCCTTATAATAGCGAACCAAACAGCCCCTTAAGAATGATCTATAAACTTATATTGCATAACTGCATGAAGAAAAATTGAAAAACCAGAAAAATAAATATTAAGAATTTTTTATACATACAATAAAAAAAGTCTCCGTACAGATGGTGACTAATAACCATGTTACGACATAGTCTTAGGGAGTGTTTGGCAACATCCTAATATTCAGGTTAGTAGAGCTTAACCTGGTTAAGGGGTCAAAATGTTGTTTGGGTAAAAACGAGCTAACTCTATACTTGGTTTTTTTAGTTCCAATTTGAGCACTTATCCAGGATAGGATTGATCCACCCCTTACCTGGTTCACAACTAACCTGGTTAAGGTATTAACCTAGATTAAGGGGCAAGTAGCCAAACACACCCTTAAATTCTATACATAGATTGTCTCTTTAACAATAGAACAAACTTTCTCGAAATGGAGTTTTTAAATAGGTAAAATTCACAAGACCCTCCGAACATTGTTGTGACTTGTGCAAAACCATTGCGAACTTGAAAAAGTAAGAGAAATCCCTCTAAATTTCAGAGAGTTTAACAAGAATACTCTAAACTTTCAAAAAGTTTCACAAATCAAATACCCTTTTTTCCTAAAAAAAATAGTCCTCTCCACTCTTTTCAAAAGAAAACAAATCTCCCATTTTTGTTCCCATTTCCTTCGATCCTCTTTCTCGACAAAACTTAGAATGAATTTTGCTCCAAAATGTAGGTGGAACTTACAGAAAGTTTAGACGGATTTTGTGTAACTCCTCAAAGTTAGGAGAACCTTCTTTAATATATCCTTGGCAAGTTTACTTATTATGCATTATAAAATATCCTACTATTAGAAAATGTGAATAGATCTTCAAAAAATAAATTATTCCCAAAAGGGATATAAAATATCCTACTATTAGAAAATGTGAGGAGTGGAGAAGTTATTAAGTAGTGGATGGTAGTTAGGATATTTTTAGATCTTTCCAATTTTGCGCTTCTAATTAGTTTCAATGTGCATCAAATTGTTGAGAACATATGTTGAACTTCTTGAAATCTTGATACATATAGAGGCAGAACCGAAACCGTGATTTTCTTAAATATAATAGTAATAGAAGTTTATGATGCCATCATGCAACTCACCACAAAGTTCAGGGGGTCTAGTGAAATTTATCCATTTAATATCACAATGGCTATTTCTTCCCCTAGTAAAATTATTGGATAAAATCCATGGGCCCCATCTTTAGGTGGGTCGTTACGATGTCCCACTCCCTTCCTCTTCCCGCCAATCTCGCACATATCATCCCCCCGAAACAAACCAAAGGCTCACAAAAACTCCATAAAAATCCCACATTTTTCTGTTCCTATCCTCTCTTTCTTCCCAATTTCCACCAATTTCAACCAATTTTCTCATCTGGGTCCTTCACCTTCCTCAATTCCCTGGTCCGGGCCCTCCCGGGTTTTCCCCCGATCCAGCCAATGCCTCTCTAAATCCAATCCTCAATGGGTTGCGCATCCTCAAAAGCTGCAGTCTCATCGACCCCACCTTTTGATTCCAACCGAGTTTTAGGAAATCTCGAAGGTGGATTGTCGAGGGAAATCTTGGCGGGCTCTCTGTGGAATGGGGTTAGTAATGATAAAATTGAGTCGGGGGAATCGAGGAAGGTGAGCTCTGTTAATGGTTCCTCAAACCTGCATAGTTTCCGATTGGGGAATCTTTATCGGTATATTGAAGGAGAGCAGGCTGCAGCTGGGTGGCCCACTTGGCTCAGTAACGTGGCGAAGGAGGCTATTCATGGGTGGGTGCCTCTTAAAGCCGAGTCCTATGAGAAATTGGAGAAGGTAAAAATATAATCTTGAACACAATGTGTTTGATGAAATTGCTCTTCGAAGGACATCAGGGAATTTTTTTTTCTCGGTTTAGGATGGAGAATAACAAGCCTAGTTTGTTTCTTTTTTCTGAGAAAACTGCGGGCATTAGCTCACGTTATAAATGAAGAACAAAATAGAGTAGAAAATGGTTGTATGACAATATCTTCATACTGATACAGAAGATATAACTATAATATGAATTATATATGCCTTAAAAATTCTGGGTCAGAGAGATGATCTATCCAAAATCTTGCAAGCTGGTTTGAGTCGCAGACAGTCTCTGCAGAAACAAAGGTTCACCATTTGAATTTTATGGAATCTGTCATTTTTATTACTGAATTCTCCATTTTTTTTTACCTCAATATAGTAATGGATATCTCATTGTTATCGTTTTCCTCTCAAGTTGGTCCTCAATTTTAGTTATCTATTTTCAATAGAGGTTCTCATTCCAATATGCTTATAAATTGTCTCTCTCTTATTCAATGTTTTTAGCATAATTAGTTGCATGTACTTAATTTACAGTATGTTATGGCAACAAAAGTTCAGAAAGCAATTTGGTGCCATTTTTATAAGAACTTTATTTAAAGAATTGACACTCTAATTAATATTAACCTCAGAATAAATCATGACAAAAGTCTAGATTATAACTGTCCACGTATCTTAATGTACATTATTACCTCACAACAAAATATTTGACCTTTTACGTAAACTGGTTTTTTTGATGGAATATGAAAGCAAAGTAGGTTTTAAGAGGTTACGAGTTCAAACCTCATTGTAGTCCAATAAACATATTTATCTATTGTGTCTGCCTTTCTATATGGATCAAATCTAGCCCTGTATAGATTGTTAGCCCACATGCCAATAAGTTGAGCTTTTCAGGTGAAATGGTGCTTGACAGTTTAACAAGTGGTTGATGGGGAAGCTTTTGTTGCTACCATCAGAATGCTAATAGAAGGTTATATGTGAAATTTCATTATACTCATTGAACGTTATGCACACTCATGATATATTTGGTTGTTGAAAGTAATATTAGGTAATAAAAGGTTCGACACTGTTTTTTATTTTGTCTATACAAGATCACTAACAGAAAAACTGGTTAACTTCTACTATCATATTGTCCAGCACCTTGTTTACTTAGCCGCATTTTCTGAACGAAAATTTACCCTATGAGCTATATCATAGTTTTATTATTTGACTATGTAACTGCTCTAATATTTCTGACAGGACTTTGTCCCTTGTTAACTTATGTGTAGATTGGACAAGGCACGTATAGCAGTGTGTTCAAAGCTCGTGATCTTGACACAGGAAAGATTGTTGCTCTCAAGAAGGTGCGATTTGACAATTATGAACCAGAGAGTGTCAGGTTTATGGCTCGAGAAATAATGATACTCCGCAGACTTAACCACCCAAATGTCGTGAAACTGGAGGGAATTATTACTGCAAGGCTCTCAAGCAGTATATATCTCGTATTTGAATATATGGAGCATGATCTTGCAGGATTATCATCTGCACCTGACATTAAGTTCAGTGCATCACAGGTTTGTTAATACTCCTGAAAGTATATTAATGGGTCAATTCCAGATAGATCCCCTGTACTATCGTCCAATTGCAGATAGATCCCTTGAGTTTAATTTTCTTTATTGACTTATTTTTACCGTCAGGAGATCTATTTGTCAAAAAACATATATATATTTTTCTTTCTTTGAGGGTACATGAGCCAAAGAATTTCACCCAGGGTTTCTAACTGCAACAATAGAACTACATGAGGTCTATCTGCAATTAAACCTATTTAATTGAGAATCGTTTCATTCTAGAAATCACATTGATGTTCGTATATAATGTAGGTGAAATGTTATATGCACCAATTATTATCTGGACTTGAGCATTGTCATTCAAACGGTGTCATGCATCGTGATATCAAGTGTTCCAATCTTCTAGTTAACAATGAGGGGATCTTAAAGATGGCTGATTTTGGACTCGCAAACTTCTTTAAATCTGGTCGGAGCCGTCCACTGACTAGCCGTGTAGTGACTCTATGGTATCGTCCACCTGAGCTTTTGCTGGGTTCAACCAATTATGAACCTACGGTAGATCTATGGAGTGTTGGATGCGTGTTCGCTGAACTTTTCCTTGGGAAGCCTATATTACAAGGAAGAACTGAGGTTTTAATCATGAGAATTTTTCTTTATGCTTATCTGATAGTTTAGGGTAAATTTCACAAAAACCCCTTATTTTGGTCTTTTTGAGAAAACACGCCATAATCTTTGTAAATGTCACTTAATCCCCCTTAAGTTTAGTCAAATAACCCCCTAATTAACACCATTAGATCTAACTGTGCACATGAAATCATGTGCGTTCAAATGATCAAAGTACCCGTTAATGGAAAAAAACCGTTTTGTGTTCTTTTTAATAATTTTAATGGTAATTTTCACAAAACCCTCTAATTTTGGTCCAAGTTTTGCCAAATACACCTGATTAGTTTTTTTCGCAAAGGTAAGTAAATTTGTTTGGCAAAAGGGGATATTTTTAGACCCAGTTAGAGGTTCAGTTGAAATTTTTTTTCAAACAAATCTTTACAAGGAGACCCAGTTATACCCAGGTTTACAAAAGCCACTTTACCACCTGACCAAAGATGTACGAGGAGTACCTATACAGAAAAATAAATAAATTCATATTCTAAAACCTAAAAACAAAAAGAAACTAATAACAAAATTTTCATCTCTACTAACTGCTACTCTGTTTACGAAGAAACAGAGCACCTTATCACTTCACCGCTTCCAGATTATGCCAAACTTCTCCTTGGGTTCAAACACTTCAACATGCATAGTCACTTCTTGAACACCATGAACCAGAATTACATCATAACCAAATTGAGAACTAGAAACTCTCATCCTACCCACACAACAGGGAATCAAGCAAACAATTCCAGAATGCTATCAACTCCTTATAATTCTTCCCTTCTGAACAGAATTAAACTTGCATTTAGCACAGATATACACTGTTGAAATGCTCTTATCAATTAATTTAATAGAAAATGTGTGAAGTTGAATATATATATATATACACATATATATATACACACACACACACACATATATATATACACACACATATATACACACACACACACACACACACACACACACATATATATATATACACATATACACATATATATATATACACACACACACCCACACACACCCACACCCACACACACCCACCCACACACACACACACACACACACACACACACACACACATATACACACCATTAGAGGTTCAGTTGAAAAAAATTGAAAATGTTTGGCAGGTTTTCTGAAATTCCCTAAACTTAAGGAGGTTAAGTGACATTTTTAGACTTTAAAGGGCATATCTCAAAATTAAGCAAACTAAAAGGTTTTTTTTTTCGAAATTCACTTGATAGTTTATTACGTTTAATATTCACCTTTTTCTCTTCCTTAGTTAGTTACATTGACTCTTTGTTTTTCAAAACAGTTATTAAACAAGTTTGTTTTGAGAAGGACAGAATTTTTAGAAAGATCTATAATGGATTTAGAGATTCTATGATGCATTAGCTATTACATTATTGAACTTTACCTTTAAATTCTAACTTTGAAATCTGAGATGAAAGTATCTCCTTGTTGTAATGATTGTTAAATTATGATTTGTGTAACCGAATAATCTTTTATTTATCAGGTCGAGCAGATACATAAAATCTTTAAGCTCTGTGGCTCTCCACCCGAGGACTATTGGACGAAGAGCAAGTTGCCGCATTCTGCAGTTTTTAAACCTCATCAGTCATATTCAAAGTGCCTCCATGACTCATTTAACTATTTACCAGAACCTACCTTCAAATTGTTAGAAAAGTTCTTGTCCCTTGAACCTTATAAGCGTGGAACTGCCAAAAGTGCTCTTTCCTCTGAGGTAATAATTAGACAGAATATGTTCTTTTTGGTGATGAAATCTTCACTTCCTTAAATGCCTGTTTTAGAGAGTGATAAGTGATTTTGATTGAACATATATCGTATTTTCCTATGTCAAAAATTCTGAGAAAAATTATCACTGAGAAATTAAAGAAATAAACATACGTTCTTATTTAAGTCCAGATCATAAGAAGGCAATCAAAGACTGCCACGAAAGCAGATATTAACTACACAACACAATAGATGGCCTAACAAATGGTTGAAGTACAGAATATCACAATGCAAAAGCATATTTCTTGTATACTGTACTCATTTGAATATGCCACCCTGTTGTAAATCTAGCTAAAAAATGAACCACAAAATTCAGAAAAGTGCTAAAAATTCAGTATAAACCCCAGAATTTATGAGAATAGTGCCCCTTCAGAGTTAAATTCTATGAGCATTAAATGAATAAAATTCCTTCTTTCCCTTTTTTCTTTATATTGGTTTAGAAATTCCAAATTTATGGAATATCTATATTCATTTGAGGTTATAGATACTGCTTAAATTTTTTATACTATTGTTGTAGTTTGTGCTTGCTGTTTGATGTTTTCTTCTCATACTTGCACAGTATTTCAAGTCAAAACCCTATGCTTGTGAACCATCAAGCTTGCCTAAATATTCACCTCACAAGGAGATCGATGCAAAGATTCGTGAGGAAGCACAAAGGTGAGCATTGGTAGAGTTACTTATACTGTATTTTTTAATTGATAAATTTGTTGACTAGTTCAGGATCAGTACACTATACTTAGTAGATGTTTCTCTCATTATCCTCTTTTTCCCTGAGAAATAGGTGCCTTTCATTGAGTGTCTCTTTTCTATCGTTGTCTAGTAAATGTGTCCTCAGATTTTCTCCTTTACCTATCAAGCAACTCGCACTCAGTACTCTATCAAGGTCTCTCTCAAAAGATTATGATGCTGAAGTATCTAAAGTTTCATTTACAAAGAAAAATCTCAAAACATTTAGTTCTAGAAAAATTTCTCTTGGTTTCCTCTCCATGGAGGGTGAATCAAAAGATATAATCCAAGAAAACATTGGTTTTAGCTCAAATTAAATGACACTTGATAATCTTACCAAGGAAAATTTAATTTTGTGGCTGGCCTTCTTAATCAACAAAAAGAATTTTTTGTATTTTCTCCAGTAAATGAGAATATATAACTATTATTGTCCATGATCATAGGCTGTATTACTAAATCTAATCCTTATTTCTTTCACAGGAAAAAGCCTGCTGCTGGTAGACAACGGGGATTGGAAGTCTTGAGAAGACCTTCAAGAACTCATAGCACAGGAAATTCTGATGGCCAAAGTAAATTAACTGCTCAGGCAGAGGTTTGTTCATAGCTACAAACTATATTAATATGCTTATTATTGTTTAATGTGGTTATAGCCTGCACCAAATATGAGTTTGAAACACTCTTATCATTTTGTTCAAGAATATTGCTAAATTCTTGTGAAGTCAGTGTAGCAATACCTTATGAGATCAGTATAATTTTTCACATGCTTCAAATATCTTGCCCATTTAATTATTCTGAATGGCATCTGAAAAAAATCTAAATTCTTCTGAAGTCCGATGAAAACACAAGTTTATATTGTCTTAAAGGGTTAATTTCACATAGACCCCTATAATATAACTGTTTTGAACTTAATTTCCCAGTAGTTTTATTGTTGCAGCAGATAGACCACCTTGGTTATATCTGCCAAAATTGAGTCACAAAAATGCAGCCCAGGGGATAAGTCTGCGACAACGAAACTACAAGGGTAGTCAGTTTAAAATAATGATACTACAGGGGGTATACGGGCTAACCAACCATGAAGGTGCCATAAATACTAGTTGGCGTTGCCAGCTGAAACTTCATGGTTCCGTTATATATACTTTAAGCTGTAGTGTTAATCAATTTGAGTGTATTGTTGCTATATTTTTTCGAGGACATACATCAAAACACTTACTTTGGTTATTACAGGGTCCATGGATAAAAAACTGTGTCAGTGGAAATATCACAGAGAAAGATTCTTCTAAAGAGAATTCCGAAAGTAGACTATTTGTCGATCTGCAGCCAAAGCCAATGATTAACATTCCAAATGAGGATCTTTATTCAAAACACAAGAAAGAAGAAGGGCATCCTTTCTCTGGACCATTGATCTCGTCTAATGCTAGTGGACTTCTGTGGGCAGTGAAGCAGAAAGAAACCCAGTCTTTCAATAGATCACAAGCAAATGGGAATGCTGAGTGCCATGAGGATTCTAAAATTATCAAGCCTCATGAATCAGAAAAACAGGCTATGTTGTCAAAATGGATACAACTTGACCAGCATGACTCCATCAACGGCTCTGCTGTCTTCCACCATTGGGATGTCAACGAGCGGTACAAGAGAAGTACAAAGTCATCCAAGCACCAATATGTAGAACTGGTAATAGTCAAATTACTACCTTTTTTCTGAGTAATCATCAATATACTTGGTTTAGAGTGTCACTAAATTTACTGAATTATCCTACAATAACAACAAGAAGAAAGCATTTATACTCAAATTTTGGGTTTCAGTTACATGAATCCTATTCATCTGTTCAGTTCTATTAACGATCATCTTCTATGTTAGGTTAACTAGGTTAACTATTATCATATCTTTCTTAATTATTTCCAATCAAGATCTTCTAGATTTGCCTGTAGTCATTTTTTCCCATAAATTGTACATGATTAAACCATCTCAATCAATTCTCTCATTTCACTCTCAATAGGAGGAACCTCTATTGTCCTAATAATATACTCCTCTATTCTCCTAGTTATGTACTCGTTCCTTATCCTACGTCTTAGTGTATATCTACTAAAATTATAACATTCTTATTTTTGCTGCACTCATTTCTTGCACATGCTTTTCAATTGCCAACTGATTTATCCTTGGGTTACAATATTCTCAGGATTCCCAGCATCATTCAGATAGAGTTGCTTTCTCGGGGCAGTTCCTATCTCGCACAAATAATGTTGATGAGCTTCTAGAAAAGCATGAAAGACATATGCGCCAGGCAGTTCGGCGATCGTGGCTCCGAAGAGGTTAAGCTACTTTTAACATGTACTTGTCTTGATCAAGTTGTGCTTACATTTACATATATGCCATATTTTAGTACAATGGCCTGAGTCTCACATTCACTGGCTCCTTCTTCATGTAAGCATGTAAATATTGTTTCATTGAATATCACAGAATTATAAATATGTGAAATGATATAATTGACTGAAGATTATAAATCTCTATCTTGAATCAAAGTACTTCAAGAACATGAAATATACAAATTAGTGACATGTATCCAAAGACCTTTTTTCTTCCGTTTATTTCTATCATGCTTATTTCTGCATTAATGACTCAAATAATAAAGACTCAAGAACTCTTAAAGGACCTTACATATATATTGGTGAGCATGATTTAAGGATAACATGCTTATGGTAGAAACCGGCAATCAATTACTATATGACTATATAGCAGACACATCATTTTTTGCTTCTGCCCTGAAATGGTAAAAAGTTCTCTTCTATAAGTTTTCTGATATGTTTTAGGTGTTAGAAGTTTTTGATATATTCTCGATCTTCAGCCTGCTGCTCATTTTCTTTTGCTTTTCACAATGACAGGGAGATAGCAGTAAAGTAGTTGAAAGAGAAGCTCAAGAATTCCAGAAGAAAATATCTCGAGCTCTAGCAAGTCTAGATTTAGAACCAAGATCTTACTCACTTGATCCAAAGATGTTCCAAACGTCATACATAAATCTTTGATATCAATATAAGATGTTCTTGTGAAACCCTTGACGAATGAGTGAATTCTGGGTGCATTCTAAGAGTTTTAAGTTGTTGATAATAGTGTATTGTAGTAGGTTATAGTTCCACATTGGTTGTGAGAACACACCTTACCCTCCTCTACTTGTATAAATATATGTATATACTCAATATTCAATTTAAGAGAAATTTACCCAAGACTTTCTCTCTCTTACTTTAACATGGTATCAGAGCTAGGGTTATTATTTCCCTTCCAATAATTTTTTTTCACGCTTCTGCGTTTTTTTTTGCCAAATCGTGGTCTTGCTGCTTTACAGTCGTTTTAACACTTTATTGCGTTCCTCTGCCAGATTTTTGGCCTTCCTCTTAACGCATTTCGCGTTCTCGTTTAACCTTCGGGTTCTATTTTAATCTTCGGGGTTATATTTTAAACCTTCGGGTTGTATTCTAACCTTCACATTCTATTTTAAACATTCGGGGTTCTATTTTAACGGGATTGTCGTTTCAAGATCATCTCTTGATCTCAAATTTACGGCATAGCCGTTTTTTAAGACCGTCTCTCGGTCTCAAATTAACGGCATCGTCGTTTTAAGCCGTCTCTCGGCCTCAAACAAATGGCATTGTCGTTTCACAGTCAGTTACGACATCGCCGTTTCAATCCATCTCGACATCTCAATGTCTCAATATCGGTATTAATCCGTTGTAGGTCTCCAGCGTGAGCATCAGATCCGGCCAATCTTCAGGCCACTGTGGTCGCCAGTTGATTCTTTTTTCTCAGATTTGACAGTCATTTTAATCTTTGAGTTTCTACATTAACCTTCGGGTTCTCCCTTAAACATTCAGGTTTTATTCAAGGATTATAATCTTGAACTTTGAATTGCTGCTATTATGGCTTCTTCACAGGTACCTGCTTCTCAGGCTCGGTCTAAGCTCTTTTGCACCTATTGAAAGAAGGAGGGACACCACTTTGAGACATGTTTCCAGCTTCATCCTGAGTTATGTTCCTCAGGAACTGGTCCTAGTTAGCGATCCCCTCAGTCCCGATCCTCTAGTGCACCCGGATTACCGATCAATGTTATGCTATCTACCACTTCAGATCCTGCCATTCAAGCTATTGCAGATATTAGCTGTCAAATTGCGTCTCTTCAGCATATCACCACTCCATTTGCTGCAAAACTCTCTGATATTCGCCTTCAAATTGAGGCTCTTCAAGCTATTGTAAATATTAGTCGTCAAATTGTGATTTTTTAGCATACCACCTCTCCATCTGCTACACAACTCTCTGATATTCGCCATCAAATTGATGCTCTTCAGCATAGAGCCTCTACATCTACTGCACAACTCTCTGGTATACGTCTTGCTGGTTCTTCAGCCAACCCTTCAGTCTCTGGTATGAAAGATCTCTAGATTTTTGACTCTGGTTGTTCCTTTCATATGACTCATAATGTCCCCCTCTTATCTTCTGTCTTTACTTCCTCTTCTCTTCCCCTATCTACATGGTTGCTGGACAATCTTTGTCTATCACTCAGTATGGCTCTATCATCCCACAAACTGATCCATCGTCTAACTCTTGGCCCCATCTATACGGCTCCTCAGTTGTGTTTGAATTTAATTTCTGTTAGCTCCTTATGTATGGATGACCTACTTGTTTCATTTTCTTCTGATACTTGTATTGTGTAGGATCTACAGACGGGCAAGACTCTTGGGGCCGGTTGGAGGAGACACAAACTTTTTTTTGGAATATCTTCACCTTCCAGAGTCCATACGTCCACGTTCTCTTGTTGCTTCTATAAGTCCAAAATCCTCTACTTTGATTTTCACAGATTTGTGGCATAGACGACTTGGTTATGTGTCTCATAAAAGACTGGAAAGTCTTATCTAGCCTGGAGTACTTGGTCCCGTATCCTCTCGTTCTCATATTGAGTCATGTACCGGTTGTAAATTGGCTAAATTCACTGCTCTATCATTTCCAACCAGTACATCTGTTTCTACTTTCTTATTTGATTTGGTCCATTTTGATATCTGGAGGCCAGCTCCTCTGCCTTCTTCATTTGGCTACTTATATTATATTAGTTTTATCGATGATTTCTCTCGTCATACATGGGTCTACCTACTTAAAACTCGCTCTGACGTACTTACTAGTTATCAAGCCTTCACTACGATGATCTTCACTCAATGGCAAGCTCGTATTAAAGTTTTTCATTCTGATTGTGCCAAAGAGTACCTATCATCTACCATGCACTCTATCATGTTCTCTTATGGGACTATCTTTCAACAGTCATGTCCCTATACTCATGAGCAAAATGGTATTGTTGAATGCAAATATCACCATATTCTCGATTCCGCTTGATCCATGCTCATTTCTTACTCTGTTCCTCATCGTTTTTAGGCTGAGGTCATTCTCACTGCTACTCATGCCGTTAATATCACTCCATCTAGCTCTCTTTCCGATGCTACTCCTCATAGTCATGTTTGTACTCATCCTCCCCGTTATGATCTGATCCGCGTTTTTGATTGTCGCTATTTCGTTCTTCTGCCATCTCACAAATGTGATAAATTATCTCCCAGAGATGTTCTCTGTATCTATTTAGGAATTAGTTCAGAACATCGAGGTTATCATAGTTATGATCCCGCATCTCGTCGAGTTTATATATCTCGACACATTCAGTTCGAAGAGGATTCTCCATTTTGTTCTACTTCCGATGATTTCAACTTCCTCCACACTACTGATCATGCTTCTCCGCCAGCTGCATCACCTACTTCCTTACCTTAGTTCTCCTTTCGAGATCTCCCTAAAATCTCTCCATCTCCTTCTATTGACTCTCCCTACCCGAGCCTTCTCTTCCACCATCTGATCTTTATCCTGTAGACACGACACCCACTCCAAAAAATACTATTAACCTCCATGCACCTGCACCAGCATCTCCCCCGTCCGAGGTTCCTCTTGCTCTTCGTCGAGGCAAACGCCCACATGTCATGTCTGCACGGTATGCTTCGGTTACTTCCTATTCATCTATCTTTCATAATTTTCTTACTGTCATTCATACTACAGTTGAGCCAAAGTCCTTTCAAGAGGCCGTTCAATTTTCAGAGTGGTAACATGCTATGGCTGAGGAATTTTAGGCCTTTTAACAAACATATATCTGGGATGTTGTTCCCTATCCCCTTAGCATCTCTTTAGTTGGTAGTAAATGGGTTTCTAAGGTCAAGTATCGTCCTGATGGCACCATTGAACATCAAAAAGCTCGTTTAGTCGCTTGAGGTTTTACTCAGCAACAAGTTATTGATTATGAGAAAACCTTTGCTCCTGTTGCTCAGATGCGCACCGTTCATGCTCTTCTTGTGGTCGCTGCTGCTCATTGTTGGCCCTTATACCAGATAGATGTTAAAAATACTTTTCTCTGTGGCTCTTTATCTGAGACAGTATATATGCAACCGCCTCCAGGGTCCAATATTCCTCCGGGATATGTATATCTCTTTCATCGTGCTATTTAAGGTCTCAAGCAGGCATCTCGCGCTTGGTTTGAGTGTTTTCGAGATGTCGTGCTTAAGGCAGGCTTTATGAAAAGTCATCAAGATACTTCTTCTATTTGTTCGCACTAAATCGCGTGGAAGAGTTTTATTACTCATTTATGTAGATGATATGATCATTACAGGTGATGATATGGCTGGTATACAGTACGCAAAATCTCAGTTGCAACAACAGTTCCACATGAAAGATTTTGGATATCTTCGGTATTTTCTTGGTCTAAAAATTTCTCAAGGCCTACGGGGTGTACTACTGTCTCAACAGAAGTATTTCTTGGATATTCTAGATCGAGCTGAGCTAACTGACGATGCAACTGTCGATACTCCACTCTAACAAAATGTCAAACTTTGCTCTACTGATGGTGAGCCTCTATCTGATCCTACCCAATATCGATATCTTGTTGGCCAGCTGGTCTATCTGTACATCTCTCGACTAGACATCTCTTATGTTGTTGGCATTGTCAGTCAATTTGTTAGTGCCCTATATTTTGTACACTATGCAGCATTATTATAGATTCTTCGGTATCTCCGGGGTACTAGCACTCACTCTCTTCTGTTTCCTGCTATATCCAAGTTAGAGCTTTATGCATATTCTAATGCTGATTGGGTTGATGATCCCCTACCAGGAAGTCTACCTCAGGTTATTGTATATTTCTTAGTGATTCCCTAATTTTCTAGCAGAGTAAGAAACAAGATGTTGTTGTTCTTTCCAGCACCGTGGCAGAGTATCATGCAATGTTCACAACAGCTAAAGAGATTATTCATCTTCGTCGTCTTTTCAGTGATTTTAGTATTTCTGTTTTGACTCCTACTCCTTTATACTGTGATAATAAGAGTGCTATCCAGATTGCTAATAATCCAGTTGTAGGCGTCTAAAATTGCCTATGAGATCCCACACACAGCTCGAAATGGAGAGTGGACGAGTCAAGAAGGGTTATCCCATTGGCCGCTGCGCATGTTAGTCAGCTTGCGCACGTTAGTCAGCTCGCTCGTGTCGGTCAGCTCACGGACGTCAATCAGCTTGCACGAATCGGTCAACTCAAAGTGACCGAACGTGCTCGTCGGTCAGTACGTACACGTCAATCAGCTCGCACGAGTCGGTCAACTCAAAATGACCGAACACGCTCGTCAGTCAGCTCGCGCACGTCGGTCAGCTTGCGCACGTCAATCAGCTCACGCGTGTCGATAAACTCAAAGTGACCGAACGTGCTCGTCAGTCAGCTTGCGCACATCAGTCAGCCACAAGTGACCAAACGCGCTTGTTAGGCAGTCCCAAGCGACCGACGTGTTCGTCGGTCAGTCCCTCAACGAAGCGTACAAGTCAACGAAGGCCTCCTCCAAGAAAGCTCGCTGGACTTCGGCTTCAAAGGTCCAAGAAGAAGATCTCCTCGCTACTGCTTTACTTGTGGCCCGCAACGCCCCGCCGACATCTGACGAAGCTGAAGCCGGGGATCTAAACCCCTTGAGTAAGGAGTTTACTGCTGATAACGTTCCTATTCTATCAAAGAGAGCACGTCAGAGACGACTACAACGCCT